CGTAGCAGTTGCAGGAACTGCTAAAGGGATATCGGATGGAACATAAGGTCCATTCTCTATATAGTATGGAATTTTAGGATCCACACCTTCCAAGAAGAGTGATGTGGTTTCTCCAAAGACTAAAGTTGTCTCTTATAAACCGGAGAGGTTTGGCAAGAGAGCCATTATTGTGAAAGTTGATGCTAGTTTTGTAAAACCATTTTGAAAGGAATAAATTATGTAAAGAATAAAAGATAATAAAACACCAATAAAACAACAATACAACACAAAAAGCAAACACTACTCTGACACCACTTGTTGGTCCCAGCCGGTCTACAAGAGTTTATAGGTAACAATTTGTAGAAAGGGGGGGGGRGGGATGAATACAAATACAATAACTTTCACTTTTAAAAATTATATATTGATAAAGAAGATCAATACAAATTTTACAGATTGTTTGCTGAAGAGATAGGATATATAACCTATCTAAACAATCTAAGATACAAAAAAAAAACATATAGCAATAAGAAAAGATTTGCTACAAGAAATAAGGTAAGAAGAAATGTGTTGTTCACTTGTTAATGTGGATCATTCTCTTTAGACAGAGAGTAGAGAGAGAAGTAACTTTTTAGGTAAATTTAGAGTAAGGAAGATGAAAATTGAGAGGAGAACCACTCAACTATTTATACCCATTGCATTCAATGCAATTCAGAAGGTACAAAGTACATGGCAAGCTTTTAGAAGAAAGCTTGTTCTTTGTTACAATATACAGGCCTTTTGGCTGTATATGAACAATCCTCTTTCATAAAGTAGGTAAGCACGTTTAGAGTCAAAGGAGTGGCTCCGTACTGTACAATACTTAGAAAGGTTGGGTTTGTTCTTTGTGTGCAGAAGGAAAAGACAAAAACTAGTCTTGCTTGACAAGATTCATTTGATCGCTGAACATTGGAATGACGCTGAAGGTCTGATCAATATTCGCTAAATCTTGTGCAGACTTCACACTTATATAGACAAACTTGTTATCACTGAAACCACTTCGATCATGAACTTGCTGGTCTCTAATCTTCAGCTTCTATCTTTGACATAGCTGAAGGATCTGTGGTGTGAGTAGTGTCTTCTTGAAGTATAGCGGTCTCTGAATGAATTACAATACATGTTCAGCAATCACTGAACAAACTCAGTGAAGATAGCTGAAACTAAATACATATATAATACACTTCGATAAATAAAAGGATCATCATCAAATATTTGAGAGAGAGGATCAACAGTCTCCCCCTGTTTGATGATAACAAAGCAACATAAATAAAATTGCTTAAATTACATCAATAAGGAAAATGTACTAGTAAAATACTTATCCCTTTTAATTGTTTTGGGATCTTTTTCAGTGATACAATTTACTTATGTAAATTTATTAAAAGTTGTAAAGGATTACAAGTTCAAGGATAAACTGACATAATAATGGTAATTGAAATTGAAAGTATATTCACTGACTAGAAATGTGTTAGTAAATGTAAGAGAATTAGAACTCATTAATACTTGTCCCTTTTACTCTTTTCAAGAATCATTTTTAGTGTACTAATATTTTCATTGAATATTAGACAACACAAAATATTACAAGTCATTCATCAGCACTGGTAGACCTAATACATAAAGGCTATACATTGAAGATACATAAAAGAAAATAAGGTTACAAGATAGAGAGGACGTCTAATCTAAGTTGCTGAAGTTGAGATACCCAGGGACGTCTTCTCCAAGCTTGTTGCGTCTCAACATGTCCTTTATGATCTTGCACTCCATCACCTCTCCAAATATATCATCATTGAGCCAAGTCCTTAGATAATCCAAGTAATCTATCAGACAGAGGTGGAACTTTGATACTCGCTGGAACCTGTATTCACCGTCATAGTTAATGAACATAAGTCCATGCTCAGGTTTAACTTGCACAGTGTTAGGTATGTAAGGACACTTCACAGACAGTGTCAGTTTCATCTTTGAGAGGTTCGGCTTCTTTCGATCCTTCAGAATTTCATCCAAAGAGAATTTTGTTTCATGCTCGTTCTTCTGGGATGGTCCATCTTCAGGATTTGAGAGGTGTTTTATTCTAGAGGGAGGCTTTTTTGGAAAAGTAGGGACTTCGATGAACTTGGACACCTTCTTGAATAGATCGTACATGATGTGTTCAATAACCAGCTTGTGCTTTGACTTTGATCGATAAATAACCTATCGAATCTCCAGTCATTCATCGAAGCCATACTGCCCAAGGTAAGAAGGGTACTCAGTGACAACATCTTTATTATCTTAGAATATTACTATTGAGATAAGGAGTCTACCATCCTTCATCTGTCCGCTGATGGTGACATTTGAGATCTTATAGGGACTTATCATTTTCTCGATCGTTTCCTTGCACCATTTAAGATCTCGGTCCTTCAGCGTCAGCGCCCATTGATGTTCTTATTCAGCTTGTAACAATAGTTGAGCCTGAGCTTTGACTAGATCTTTCTTCTTGAGCTTTCCTTTAGCCAGAGCTTGGGCAGCTAGAGTCTTGGCCAACTCTAGATTGTCCTTCAGCTGTTGACGGTGTATTCTCAGTTCTTCTTGGGATTTTAGGGACTCTTCTCTTTCAACTTCAGTGAGGAATTCAAGCTCTCTACAACCAGAGGTACGAAGAGGGATTTTTTACTCTGGTTTGGTCGAGCTGATTTAATAGCTGAATCCTCCTCTAGTCTTCATCAACTTCTGATGTTGGAATTATTGCTTGGCTTTCTTCTGATGGACCAGAAGCGTAGGTTGGTGTAGAGAGTAGAAGAGTAGAGAGCTTAGAATCTGAGGAAAATGGCACGAACCTAGAGCATTGAGCTACCTTCGATGGATCGATCGCCTTGAAAATGATGGCGAGGTTCCCTTCTTCAGCCACTCCCTTGTCTTTGGAGGTGGAGTGCTGGTTCTTTGAGACTAAGAAGACTCCCTTCTATGCTTTTTCTTGAATGGTACTGAATACTAAAGTCATCATCGTCGTCTTCTTCTTCATCATCATTGTCTCCAAGATCCTTTCCAGCGTCAAGGATCTGAGGTTCTTCGTCCTCCTCTTCCTCGTCTTCAACATCATCCTCATCACCAAAATTTTGCAATGCAGAGGTGGCGGGATGATCATCATGAGTAGTAGGAGCTATCATGGCATCATCATCCTCATTGTCATCATCAACGTCAACTTCAATGGTGATGGCATCCTCAGCGGCATGGATTAAGGCATCTACATGAGGGTCATCAACGGTTTCCTCGACAACAATTTTCTCACCCTCATTTTTCTCTCCCTCTTTGTCATCAGCAAGACGCGAGGAAAGATCATTAAGACTTAAGGATAGGTCTTCAAAGCATTGCTCGATGTTGGAGAGAGCTTCTGCCTAGAGTAGGTTGAGTGCAGCGACCCGTTCTAGTTGCTGACGGTCTGAAACTGTGAACTCAGGTTCAGGGACCGGGGATGGTTGCTGCAGGAGCTGAAAGATCTGATGTAGCATGGTGAGCTGAGCCTGGACTTTGTCGGCTTTGCTACAACAACCTTTCTAGCTTTCTCTTTACTTTTCGTGCATAATTTACTTTTACATCATTTACATTCAATCATTTCCATTTATGTTATTTACTTCTAAGCACTTACATTCAGTCATGCTAGGCTAAATACCTTAGTATGGGTGTAAGTGTAAACACCAAGTGTTAATTGATGTTTGCTTGTTAGTAACATTTTATTTCACTATTCACAAGTGGTATTACTATTTTATTTGGTAATCTTTGATATATTGACACATGTTATTTTATTCAGATGAGCTGGACTTAAAATTAAGACAAGACAAATATCTTTTACTAATTGTGTTGTAGAGGCTATAAAGAGTCACCGTAATCTTATGGGTTGCAAAACTATATGGAAAGAAAGGCAAGATTTGTACTAGTTTGAGATTGATGCATCACCAAGTGCATTTCCAACATATGGTCTAATATGCACTTTCTTGGAAGGCTATTCAATCCATTACTGTTGTAAAGGGTTATTTATAGAACAATATTCATTACACTTCGTTGCTGAAATTCAACCCGATCTTGCATCCATTATGTTTTAATTATTGATATATTTTAGTATTTGGTTACCAACTCTCGCAAAGATATTTTCTCTCTGAAGCTTTATTGTATCCAAAAACCCTTTTTTGAAATCTCACTTTAAAGTTAACTTTTGTGACTCTCTTTGCATATTAAATATTTGTGAAACGATATTTGGTATTACTTACCATTATTAATTGCTTTGGACGATACTTGTAAGCCGTGTATACTTTCATGATTTACTTGTTATTATAGTTTTTTGAGGGTATAGATTCCTACACACCAAGTTTTTGGCGCCGTTGCCGGGAATTTTAGCCAAAAAGAGTAATATTTAAGTTACTTTAAAATTTGATTTTTCTATCATCAAGTGTTTATTTTTAGTGGTTTATGCCAAGGATACCTCATGGGACTATTTTTGAGTTAGATCCGGACATTGAAAGAACCATTAGAAGGAGAAGAAGGGTACAAAGAAATTTGTTGCCTATTCTAGCTACTCCTGAAATGGTTTAAGTCAAACTTGGTCCAATATCCAATCCTGAGGAGGAGGTTATTAGGCTTGAAAATTCAAGGACTGGTGGCATCATGGACTATAATATTCCAATATTAAAGCTATTACATCCTAGAATATATAGGCCCACTATTGATAGTGATCATTTTGAAGTTAAGCCCATCAGGTTTCACATATTACAAACAAATGGTCAATATGCTGGATTACCATCTGTGTATCCTCATTTGCATCTTAGATCTTTTATGGAAGTCACTGACTCTTTCCATCTTAATGGAATTTCTGATGAAGCCTTAAGGATGGAGTTATTTCCTTTTTCATTAAGAGACAGAACCAAAGTGTGGTACAACTCTTTGCAAACAGACTCAATCACCACCTGGAATGAGATGACTAAGAAGTTTTTAAAAAATATTTTCCCCCAACCAGGAGTGCCAAGTTCAGAAATGAAATTTGTCTTTTTAGACAAGTGGATGATGAATCAGTACCTGATGCTTGGGAGATGTACAAGGAATTACTAAGAAATGCCCACATCATGGCATACCCTACTGCATACAGTTGGAAACATTTTACAATGGTGTTGACACCACTACTAAACAAATGTTAGCTGCTACTGCAGGAGGAGCCTTTACTTCCAGTACCTATAATGATGGTTTTGATATTTTGGAGAAAATTTCTAACAACAATGGTAATTGGGCAGATTCTAGAGCATTAGTACCCATAAAGACAGCAGGCATTCATGAAATAGATCCTTATACAGCTCTTACAACACAACTAACAACAATGACCAACTAGTTGAAAAACTTGGTTGCTCCTTCTGCTAATACTGTTGCTACTGCAGTTATTTCTGAAGCCTTGCATGTCCAATGTGTGTATTGTGGTGAAGGAAATACTTTTGACCAATGCAGCCTTAACTCCGAATCTGTGAATTTTGTGCACATCAGACCTGCCCAATTTTCAAACACCTACAAATCCTGTTGGAAAAACCATCTTAATTTCTCTTGGAATAGTCCATGTCTAAACCTACCAGTTATAAAAGATAAAACACAAGGTTTTCAACCAAATGTTTCTCAAAGTCAACCTGCTCATTTTCAACATCAATCTAATTTTCAAAACAATCCAAACCAACAAGGTGATTCATCCAATTCTTTGGAGGCATTGTTGAAAGGTTTTATAAATCAAACCAACTCAACAATGAATCACCAAAATGTTAACATTAGGACTTTGGAAACACCGATGGTCAAATAGCACAAGAGTCGAGGAACATACACGTTGGAACTTTACCCAGTGATACTAAGATCCCTAAGATACTGACCAAAGAGCATGTGAAAGTTGTGAACTTAAGGAATGGAAAAGATCTAGTAGAAATTCCATGAAAGCCACTGAAGAATCTGAACCAATTGCTACAACAATTCCACATGTTGTTACAACAACCCCTCCTGTTTTTTCTAAACCTGTAGAAGACCTAGGATCTGCATCCATTCTAAATCTTCGAAGACCGGAGGTGCGTCTTATTGTTTCAATATCTAAATCTTCCAAATGAAGAATATATATATTATGTGCTAATTCTTCGTGATATATGAAACAAGCACCTTTTGTGAGATACTTGAGTAGCTAGGTGGGGTGACATGAGTAGTCGACACTGGGTCCATGTCTGTTTCAATATTCATCTCCACAAAATGAGAATTATTAGATTATATGGAATCCGGTTAACTGTAACGGTTTAGAAAGGACTATATTTATTTCTTTTAAGTCCTGTCACACTCTCACCATATTAGTTTACCTCACTCAACAATCAAACTCTCAACATTTTATCTCAAGCACTCCCTTTTAAACTAACCAAGGGATGTGTTTCATGGGTAGGTCCTTCCGATTCTGGATTGACCATTGAAACTTCTATTCTTAGCTCTCATAAAAGTTCCTGCACTTTCAGAAATATATTCGTTAAAGTTCGAATAAAAATGAATGATGAGTCCTGAATTGATTAATTCATAAGTCATATACGAAGAACATGTTCTGAACTGAGTTGTTCAGAAACTAACATATTGAATGTATCTATTCAGAAATATGAAGAAACAAATTTAAATGCTAGACATAATGACCCAGTAAGCACAATGTTTAACAACAATTGTACAATGATTAGAATGTCTAATTGTGAAGAACAAGTCACAATTATTATTTCAAATAAGAATCGAATCATTGATGAAATATAACGCACATTGAAAACAAATTGAATTTCAAACGAGTGTATTTCCACCGAAACTATCAACAAATATATGAGATGTGGAAACATTGAAATTTAAGAACAGTTGAATCAGGTATTGGAATTAAGCATGATGAGAAAATACACAAGTATTAATCTCAAATAAATACCCGTTCAAAGATAGTACTCATTTTTTAAAAAATCATTTAAATCTTCACTTCTTAAAATCATAAAACATTTGAGATTAAAGAAGTGGTTTGAACATTTGTAAAAATATTTTATACTTAGAAGTCGTCCTTCTAAGCATATGAATATTAAGCATAAAAAAAATTTGATTTAAAAAACATTGCTTAAAAAATTCAGTTGATGACCAAAAATCTCTTATCGCTCACCATGACTCATCACTCAAACTGTCACTACTTATCGCTCAACTCTAATCATACAAAATAATGTCTCTCATCGCTCAACACTATCATAATACTCATCACTCATTCTGTGAGGATGCATATCACTCAACACACACTCATCGCTCAATAACTATAACTCACATTACGCATCGCTCAATCTATGTCCCTAAACCCTTTCATCATACAACTCTATGATCAGATTGATTACTTCATCGCTCAAGACACATTTTTATAATATCTTTAGCTCAAAGTATCTGGATACCCTCTTCATCAGACAACATATCATCCGGATTGGTCTTTTATCGGACACCACTTCGTCCGGATTCAACCTTAATCGGACATCACTTTGTCCGGATAAGTCCTCATCGGACAAATCTATTCTTCTATATCTGAAGCATTGGACTCCTTGCTTCCTTTTTTCTCTGGCTGCCTTCAAAAATCCTGTAAAAATTATATCAGTTAAATTCCAATCTTATATTCAAATATAAAAAGTTATTAATACCCCCTTGAAAAATATATAATATAAAAGTTCAAATACTCTATTTGATGATACTAAATGATGAAAATTCAAACATTTCCCCTGGAATTAATATCTCATTCAAAATCAGTATAAAAGATAGAAAGATTATACTCCTTTTGAAAATAGATACGCTTAGATTCTGAAGTAAGTACCATACCAGTTGTAATCATACCTGTCATTCCTAGTCCAGCTATTTCCATACCAGCTGCTATTCCTCTCACCTTTTCCATTCCAACTATTTGCTTTCTTCTTGTTTATGAAATCATTTGGTCCACAAGTTGAACATCTTTCTCTTGCTAAGACTAATAAGATGGTTAGTAGACTTAACAATACAAGGTAAAACAGCCTTAGACATAAATGATTTCTTATTATGGACAGAGTTTTGAGAAAATATACCATCAAATTCAGAACTTAAACCGAACAATGTCCTCATTGGAGTAATGTGTTTAAAGTGTTTGGTTTTGGTAACAATGGAAAGTGTTTGGGCCAAAAAGAAAGATGGCCCACGTCATTTTAATTTTTGCAACCCAAAGATTTCATGAAGGAAATCGCACCTGAAAATGAAGAATAAGCCAACGATATACCAATATATTATCAACGCCCAACTAAGAAACAAAAGTAACTTAGAGTAGCAATTTATCAAAAGACCTAAGCAAATATCAACAACCGCCATATATGAACACAAAAGAGGCGGTCGGATAAAATATTAAACACCCAATCCAAAAAAATATTGTTTTTGAGTTTCAAAAGTCATAACGAAACACCAAGGAAGACGATCAATCCAATTTACTCGTGTCATCCCGAGAAGCGGATGCCTCACCCGTGGCATCCGGTGTGGTGGTCCGTCTGATATTCGAAAGCCTTACTTGAGGATGGAAAAGGCCTCTGGGAAAGCGCGGGATCTCCGGAGCTAGCATCACATTCTTGTGCGATACGAACTTATTCACGACCCGGTTCCTATCTCGCGTATACATCCAAAACTTCTCCGAACACGTCGTTAGTCCGAAACTCGATCTTCCACTTGAGTGATTCTCTCGGTAACCTTGGCTAAAGCATCAACTATCGTCCCCATCTTCTGGTTACATTCCTCCCATTGGCTCGCCATGAGTGACAACCAAACCTTCGAACCATACCCCATGGGCGTAGGTGGTATCAGCGGGATGTCGGTATTGGTCGGAGGGGCAGTTGCGGCTGGTTTGGAGGCTGGAACAGCAGGGTCTTCAGGCCTTCGAGGGCTGGTGGCAGCAGGTCCAGGTGAGACTTGTGGTCCGGTAGCATCATCGGCTAAGTCGGCATTCTTATGGTCCGGTTTGTGCATGCGGTTGACCGTTCCTTGATCAAGCAAGGAATGGTTGAAGGTGATGATGTCATGCTCCGAAACAGGTACCCTCACGGCTATCAATAGCTTCGTGATCAAACCTGAAAAAATCAAACACAAACTAGCTCGCACAGTTGATGTTAGTATGGTCGAATAAGCGAGAGGGCCCACGTCGATCGGGAGTTCCTTTATGATGCAATAAATCAAAATACACTTTTCCCGTGACAATGTACGATCATGCATGGAAGGCATGATACTGTGACGCACAAACTGAAACCAAAGGGCTGTCTCTAACGTCAAATGCCCAGACATTAAAATCTTTCGACGGTTGTCTTGCGACCAACCGTATCCGGGTAAAAGAAGCGCCCGTGCGATATCTTCTTCCGGCACATCAAATCCACCATTTATGAATTGGGTATGAACATACAAAGGGAGCGGTGAGACCAAGCACCGAGTTTAACTTCGGTGCTGTCCAATGGACCCGCGTTCCTCGAATGACGATTGTGTCATTTTTGGAACTCCCGATAGTTGCAAAAAATTTCTTAACCAATGTATCGTTCACTTTGCATGGGATGGCTATCATGTTTTCCCAATGATGACCAAGTAAATGATGCTTAACGCACATCAATTTTTCACTAAGTTTCAGGTCAAAAGCCCGTTCACACATAAATCTATTATTGCGTATAAGATCCAACCGATCATCAAAGGATGAAGATGTACCTCTCGATCGCGAAACAGTCTGTCATCTACGCGATGTCGGGACTGGAGTTTCTTCCTCTTCCGGCTCATAATCCTCATCGAGAGCCTCTATCACCTTTGCTTTACCCTTTTCCTGCCATTGTTGGGACCTAGTCTTCGGCCCACCAGAAGCTTGACTCGATGAATGAGTTTGCCTCCTTTCAACAGTAGGGGCTGTTTCGGGGGTTTTATCGGGCTTTTTACCGGCACCAATGGTTGACGGTGTCTCGAATGGGAAAGTTTCGGTTTGTCCTTCCTCCGGCATACCTTCAAAATCAAATGTAATATCGTCCAAACCTTCATCCTCATCCTCCCCCATTTGGTTCAAATCGAACCGTGAGTGATTTGGGGAAACAGTGGGAGAAGGGGCTAGGGTTGGTTTATCATCACTTGGGATGGGTGTAGGAGTGGTTTTTGAAGGTGCAATCGTGGGTGGGGCATATGAGGTACTCAATAAAATGGAAAACGGTTTTGGGGTTGAGAAGGGTTCGGCCAAATGAGAGGATAGAGCCACCTTAGTAAGGACAGCCATAGCATCATCATCATACGAGAGTACGGTGGTGGTTGGGGGAGATGAGTGTTGTGTGGATGAAGATGGAGGAGGACTTACAGTCGCCGGAGGAGGACTTACAGTCGCCGGAGGGAGGTTGCGGAAGGCGGCAATGGTGCTCGCGGCGATGGTACTGGCGGTGGAAGACCCTCCCATCGCCGATGAAGAGGACTCGGCAGATGAGGATGCAGTGGGTGCGGTTGACTGTGGTGTATCGGTGGCAGAAGCGGCGGCAGTCTGTCGCCAGCAAAGCAAACGCCGGGAAGGATGGTTGCGCACCGGTTGTTTTGGTCGGGCCATAGAAGAACGATTTTTGTTCGGCGGTTTCTTGAAGAAGCAAAGGAAGATGAAAGAATGAAAGGAGAAATGACGGAAAAGTGAGTTAGTGGGTTTTGTGTTTAAAATCTTAGGAAGGAAAATGAAAAAGGTGATTTGAGAGATCATGATTACAAGTTATTTTTGTTTTTATTTTAAAAAGAAGATGACCAAATAGTGACTTCATATTCATGATGTCTCCTCATAGGGTACAAGTAGTAGTATAAAATACAAGTATTCTACCCAAAAATTGCTAAAAAGACATGCTGGAAATACACACTTGAAAATTTTATTTTCAAGATTTCTTAAAAAATTGGTCATTTTTGAAATAAAATCTTGCTCTTTTTATCACTTAAAAAATAGAAATTTCCTTCATCACCTTCCCATTTATTTTCTGTTTCTAAACATATTTTTTTTTAAAAACCCACTTATCCAAGGCTAATCATCCAAGATGTATTTAGCTAATGATTTGACTCACAAACCCTCTTTTCACATCTTCCAAAGTTTACCTCAAGGTGACATCATGTGTCATTTCCTTAAAAACCTCAATTTCCAGCCAATTTCCTTCTTATCAAGAAAAGAATGTATATGTTGACACAAGAAAAATAAAATGCTGCTGGCTCCTCTTTTTAAAATTCGGATGACCCAGACAGTGGGCACAAACTTCCCACTGTCTACTCAAAAGCACCAGATTTTTCTTATTATTTTTTTTCTTTTTCTGCATTCTTGCTTTCAAAATATTTACAACTTTTGAAAATCCTTTTCACAAATCATTGAGTTGGATCGATTATTCCATCCGGGAGAAAATGCTTTATCCTATGCTCGTTAACTTTAAAAGTGGTGTTGTCCTGAGGGTTTAAAAGATCCACAGTTCCTAATTTTCCCACATTTTTATATGGTGAATGGTCCAGACCATCTCGACTTAATTTTTCCGGGAAAAAACTTTAGTCGAGAATTTAAGAGAAGAACTTTTTGACTATTTTTGAAAATTTGACGATTTATCCTACGATCATGCCAAAATTTTGTTTTTTCCTTGTAGAGTTTGGCATTCTCGTAGGCATGAAATCTCCATTCTTCCAACTGATTAAGTTGGAATTTTCTGTTTGTTCCCGCCGAATTTGTGTCCAAATTAAATTCCTTTATTGCCCAAAAAGCCTTATATTCCAATTCGAGCGGGAGGTGACATGTTTTTCCAAAAACTAACTGGTACAACGACATTCCCAAAGGGGTCCTGAATGCGGTTCGGTAAGCCCATAATGCATCATTCAACTTGAGCGAGCAATCCTTACGATCCAGTCTTACAACTTTTTCTAAAATATTTTTAATTTCTCGGTTCAAAAGTTCGGCAAGACCATTCGTTTGGGGATGGTATGCCGTAGCTACTCGATGTTGGATGTTGTATTTGGTGAGAACGGTAGATAGCATTTGAGTCATAAAATGTGTCCCTTCATCGCTTTTCAAAGCTCGGGGCGTTCCAAAACGGACAAAAATATTCTTATTTAAAAAATCGATTACCGTTTTTGCATTGTTCTTCGGGCATGCCTTAGCTTCCACCCACTTCGAAACATAATCAACCGCTACCAAAATATATTGATTATTGAAAGACAGAGGAAACAGTCTCATGAAATCAATGCCCCAAACATCGAAGAGTTCGACTTCAAGAATGTTATTTAAAGGCATCTCGTTTCGTTGGGAAATTACACTGCTCACATTTCTTCACAAAATTAAATGCGTCTTTAAATAATGTAGGCCAAAAAAATCCACTTTGTAAGATTTTTGCCGCCATACGTTGTCCACCAAATGGCCACCATACGGTGAAGCGTGACAATCCTTCAACAAAGATGGGATTTCAAAATTCGGGACACATTTTCGCAAGACCTGATCAGCTCCTATTTTCTAAAGAGATGGATCGTCCCATAAGTAGTGTTTACAGTCATGAAGAAATTTCTTAAAACATTGACCGTGAAGATGATGTGGCTTAAGCCCACAAGCAAGGTAGTTGGCAATATCGGCATACCATGGAAGTTCATTCGGATGATTTTCTTGTATTGCCAAAATGTACTCGTCGGGAAAAGTTTCTCTTATCACATGGTTTCCCCCGCTTGACACTTTGCCTTCGATCCTTGATAAATGATCGGCCACTTGATTGCCACATCCCTTGCGATCAACTATCTCTAGATCAAATTCTTGCAAAAGAAGAACCCATCTAATAATCCTTGGCTTAGCGTCGGTCTTATTAAAGAGATATTTGATGGCAAAGTGGTCCGTATGAACGGTAACTTTGGTGCCAATCAAGTAGGATAGGAAACGATCGAATGCAAATACTACCGCAAGTAATTCTTTTTCTGTGGTGGTATAATTTAATTGAGCCTCCACCAAGGTTTTACTTGCATAGTAGATGTGGTGAAAAATCTTGTTTCACTTTTGTCCCAAAACGGCACCTACGACCCAGTCACTTGCATCACATAACCTCAAAAGGCTTGGTCCAATCTGGGGCAATGACAATAGGTGCCGAGACAAGCGCTTTTTTAAGGGTTTCAAAAGCTTTTTTTACAATCGGAGGTAAATTCAAAAGTTTGATCGACATGCAACAAAGTACACAAGGGTTTTGCAATTTTAGAAAAATCCTTAATAAATCTACGGTAAAAACCTGCATGTCCCAAAAAACTTCGAATGCCTTTGACCGAAGATGGTTCGGGCATTGCAATATTACCTCGATTTTTGCTTTATCAACCTCCAAACCATTTTTAGAAACCATATGACCCAAAACGATTCTTTCTTGTACCATAAAATGACATTTCTCCCAATTTAAAATTAAATCATGAGTTTCACATATTTCCAAACTTTTGTTTAAATTGTCAAGAAAATTTTCAAAAGATGTACCTATGACGGAAAAGTCATCCATAAACACTTCCATAGTATCCTCAATCATGTCCGAGAAAATTGACATCATGCACCATTGAAAGGTAGCCGGTGCGTTACAAATACCAAACGACATACGCCTAAAAGCAAAAGTTCCAAAAGGACAAGTGAAAGTTGTTTTCTCTTGGTCCTCGGTAGCTGTGAGAATTTGGTTGTAACCCGAGTAACCGTCCAAAAAGCAATAATATTCTTTTCCGGCCAATCTATCTAGCATTTGGTTAATAAAGGGCAAAGGGAAATGATCCTTTTTGGTTGCTAGATTCAATTGCCTATAGTCCATGCAAATCTGCCATCCGGTGACAGCCCTAGTAGGGACGAGCTCATTTTTTTTCATTGGTGATAACTGTAGTTCCACCTTTCTTCGGTACACATTGCACCAGACTTACCCATCCGCTACTGGAAATGGGATATATAATACCTGTATCTAACCACTTCAAGATTTCTTTCTTCACAACTTCTTTCATAATGGGATTGAGTCTCCTTTGCGGTTGCACCTTGCCAACTCTATTTTCTTCCAAGATAATCTTATGTTGGCAAAGGGAGGGACTAAATCCCCTGATATTTGCGATGGTCCAACCTATGGCTCTTTTGTGAGCTTTTAATACCTCTATCAACTTCAATTCTTGCTCATTACTTAATTTCGAAGATATATTTACAGGTAATTTTTCCTCCTCCATAAGATAAACATACTTAAGGTGACTAAGTAGTGGCTTTAACTCCAAATCGGGAGCTTTCTCTGTGGATGGTGGTTGGACAATTCTATCCTTAAAGTCAAGTTGCTCAAATGCCGCTAAATCTTCCAAATCTTCCAAATCATCAAACTCATCATTTTCTTCCAAAATGTCCTCAAGATTTTCCCCAATGTTATTTTTTTAGGTAACGTCAATCAAACTTATTTCTAGATCTTCACCTAAAGCAGATATGACTGAACAATCGCCTACCTCTCCATGAAACTTAAGAGAATTAAACACATTAAATTTCACTTCTTGATCACTAACTCTCATGGTCAACTCCCCCTTTTGCATATCAATTAAGGTTCTCCTGGTTGCAAGAAAAGGCCATCCTAAGATGATGGGGACATTCTTATCAGCTTCGTAGTCCAAAACTAGAAAATCGGCTGGAAAAATAAATTTATCGACTTGGACCAAATTATTCTCTATTTTACCTTTAGGATACGCAATGGACCTATCGGCCAATTGTAAAGTCACGGTCGTTGGACGGACCTCACCTATTCCTAGCTTGTTAAAAACTGACAATGGCATAAGATTAATGCTTGCCCCCCCAAAATCACATAGGGCATGGCCTACTTCTTTTCCTCCTATCGAACATGGGATGGTAAAACTTCCCGGATCTTTTAACTTGGGAGGAATTTTACAAGTAAGGAGCGCACTACATTCTTTGGTCAAAGCAACCGTTTCAAATTCATTCAACCTTCTCTTTTTATTCAAAATGTCTTTTAAAAATTTAACATAGCTTGGCATTTGCTCGAGAGCTTCTACCAAAGGTATGTTAATGTGGAGTTGTTTAAAGATGCCCAAAAACTTCATAAACTGCTCGTCCATATTTTTGCTTTTCATGCTTTCTGGAAAAGGTAAGTTTTGCAAATCTGGAACTGGTTGAATAGATCTAGTTGGTTGGACAGTGGGCACAATCTTCCCACTGTCGGGCTTTTTAGCAGAGAGCTGCACATTACTAAAAGTTGAAGCAGGGACTGTTTTCTAGACAGAAATAGATTTTTGAGTTTCTTCCGTGGAATGACTCAAAATTGGAAATTTTGACATATCAAAAGCGTGTGAAACCTCGTTTTGATGTGTCGGTTCTTCGACGGTTTCACTTATATCATCATTGACTTTTGAACTCTCCTCACTCAACACGGTTACGGCTTTGACATGTTCTTTACCTTTCGAGGTTTCCGTGTCACTAGGCAAAGTTCCTAAAGGTCTACCCTTGAGATCGGTGGCAAATTGGCCGAGTTGGGTTTCGAAATTCCTTAAGGTTGCATTGGTTTGGTTTATAAAACCTTTCAGTAATGATTCGAGTGAACCATTACCGTCCGATGCATT